AATGCTAAATATATCTGTGTGTGTGTGTGTGTGTGTGTGTGTGTGTGTGTGTAGATGACGGGCCGTAAGGGACGTGTAGTGCGGCGTCCTGATGGCAGCGTTCGATATGAGACCAGAGCGGAGCAGGGCTTGACCATCGACCACGTCAACGTCAGAGAGAAAGAGCGGTTCATGAACGGAGAGAAGGTGACAACCTCTGACCTACAAACACAGAACTAGGGCTGCACGATTAATCGTATTTTAGTCTCGATAACGATATCCACCTTTCACGATTAATTAAAAACAATCGTCACGATATTGGCCGGCTCGTTATTTATCCTGAAAACGTGTTTTTAATTTGGCATTTGCGTTATCTTGCATTGCTAACAAGTCTTCACTAGTGTTTATGCTTGTGGCTGCCAGATGTGAAGAGATTAAGTCCCCAAAACAGAGCTTTTCTCCTTTAAGGATACACTTTCTGCCCAATGTTTTACTTAATCTGTGCAGTCTGGCAACCCTTTGCGCGTGCTGACTGATGGCGGAACAAGCGCTGATGCTATGAAAACATGCTTGTGCTGGACTTTAGCGATTTCTGCTTGCATGAAAGTGTCATACAGCCAATGTGTGTTTTTCACAAGCCATTTGTGCTGTTTGTGAAAAATTTACATAAATTGGAATTATCGGAAGTTATATTAGGAGCTTCTAAAGTTTTTACCAGTTTTCATAATGTTAATCAGCAATGTTAGTTTTCAGTGTGTATTAACGATCTTTGAGCAAATTTACTGCGCGATCTGAGTGGCTTGACTCATTTGCAAACAAATTGTCACTTAGAAAATCTAATGTGAATACAGATTACAAAACAACACTAACCAAAAGCATGAGTTTTGTATTATCATAATTGGTTAAATGAAGTCAGTGTATATGATGGAATAATCGTTATGAATGATCGTGATTATAATTTTAATAAAAATAATTGTGATTATCAGTTTAACCATTATCGTGCAGCCCTACACAGAACACCACGTCCAGATCGAACCCAGCGCCATTCTGAATGTTTGGACTAATGCTCTTTCTCTTTCTCTCTCAGCTGATAGCCATCATCTCTGAAGCGGCCAGTTCGGGCATCTCTCTACAGGCGGATAAACGCGTGCAGAACCGCAGGAGAAGAGTTCACATGACCTTAGAGCTGCCGTGGAGCGCAGACCGCGCCATCCAGCAGTTCGGTGAGTGTCTGTGTGTGTTTGCGTGTGTGTTTGAGAGGCGTCGTGGAGGTTGCTAATATTGTGGCTGTGTATCTTAGGTCGAACGCATCGCTCAAATCAGGTTACAGCTCCAGAGTATATCTTCCTCATCTCTGAACTGGCTGGAGAGAGACGCTTCGCCTCGATCGTTGCCAAGAGATTGGAGAGCCTGGTAAAGTCTCACCGCAGTCTCTGTTTTTCAGATGTTAAATACACACTGAATACATGTGCACTGCACACAATAAAGCTCAAAGCTTTCACTGTCAAGTAATTTTTGTGTTTATACTAAAAGCAAAATACTACATGAAGTGACAGAATCTCTTGATGCTTACTTTGTGCTCCTAATTTGAAAAATGTATGAGCATATAAGAACTGTTGGGGCACAATGAAAATGAATAAATACATTTTTTTCCCTTAATACAGGGATATGAGGAGACAATTATTTGAATACAAAAAGTACACTAGGTTTTTTAATATTTATGCTTTACTATTTAATAATTATGGGATTATTTATTTATATTTTATGCAATTATTTACATTTCAAACATTTTAATTAATTGCCAGATACAGTTTATTACAGTTTACAGTTAACCGAAGTACCAATAATAACCAGAAAAAAAATGTTCTGCATAATGCAGGACTTTTAATTATAAACAAGCCCAAACTACAGCAGGACTCTTATTTTGAAATGTCTTTACAACTTTCAGCTGCTCATCAGATAAAGGAAATAAAATATGCGCTCTTACACCTGTCTATAACACATTACAGTTTAAAAATCATAAAGTAAACATTTATAGTCATAATTCATCAATGGGAGATCATAAGAAATCGTTTGTCATAAATGCGTGGTGTTCATTGATAGTGAGCCTGTAAATGACCAATTGAAGGGAAAAAAAAAAAGACTTAATATTGTCATTCGCAAATGTACTCCTAAATACATTTTACACACATTATATTTTCTATTTTTTTATTTAAGATTTGGGACCAATAAGATTTCACTATGGGTGAAACTGTCTAAAATGTGGTTCGATCAAAGCCAGTGAAAATCGACGCGACTTGTTAGGTCTTAAACGTGAAAATAAATGTGCTTAAACCTCTATATTCATTATACAGCATTTATTAGAAGCCATTCTACAATCCTGTGAGAAACTGATTCAAATGCTGTCGGATGTTTGAGAGCTTGTTTACAGAAGTGTGTTGTGTTTTATAGGGGGCGCTGACACACGGGGACCGACGAGCCACTGAATCCAGAGACCTGAGCCAGTACAACTTTGAGAACAAAGTAGGAGAATTTTCCCCTTTATCAACCAAAATATATAATAGACTATTCTCTGTTCTTCTACATGGCTTTATTTGGGTGTTATTTTAGTATTTTTTTTTACATACTGTTAAAGTGTTTATTCATATTTAGATTTAGCTTTTATTTTTATATATTTTTAGTTTTCATTTTAATTTAAATTTTAGCAATTTTATGTCCTTTTTAAAAAAAAATTTCTTTTTTTCTTCTTCTATTAATTAATTAATTAGTGGTGGATGAGGAGATACCCCCTGACAATGTAAAGCGGTTTGAGTGCCTAGAAAAGCGCTATATAAAATGTAATGAATTAATTAATTTTAATTTCTATATATTTTTAATTCATTTTTATTATTATTTTAGAAGTTATTTATTCAAGTTTTTTCATTTTTATTTATTTATTTTTGTAAGTTTTTCATCTAATTAAAAAATCTAAATTTAGCTTTATTTAAAAAAAAAAAAAAAAGTTTAATAGTTTTAGGCTTAGCTTTAGTTAACAATAACAACACACTGGACTGGACATAACCTCATTTGACTTAAGACTTCGATTAGTTTGGTTGACGTTTTCTAAACTCGGAAGAAACATATGAACTGTAATGTGTTTCACAGTTGGATGAAATCTTTTCATGCTGATTCCCATATTGCATATGTACCACACACAGTCCCACAAATACAGTGTGAAAAGAGACCAGTGAGGGTAAAATCAAAGTTTGAACCAAGGAATTTAACCAGTTTTTTATCTTCTGTCTGTCTTAGTACGGCACCAAAGCGTTGGATAAGATCACTAAAGCCATCCTCCGGCAAATCGACAACAAAGTCCTTCCACCGAAGAGCTACCCAGGAGGGGACATCATATTCTTCAAAGGTAATTTCATCTGTTCTGATGTGCTTCAGTGATGCAGCTTATGCCAATTTGATCAAAAGTGACAGTAAAGACATTTATAATGTTGCAAAAGATTTCTATTTCAAATAAACACTGTACTTTTTAAACTTTCTATTCATCAAAGAATCCTGAAAAATTAATTGTATCACGGTTTCCACAAAAATATTGTGCAGCACAACTGTTTTCAACATTGATAATAATCAGAAATGTTTCTTGAGCAGCAAATCAGCATATTAGAATGATTTCTGAAGATCATGTGACACTGAAGACTGGAGTAATGATGCTGAAAATTCAGCTTTGATCACAGAAATAAATTAAATTTTAACAGATATTCACATTGAAAACAGCTGTTATTTATTTCACAATATTACTGTATTTACTGTATGTTTGATCAAATAAATGCAGCCTTGGTGAGCAGAAGAGACCTCATTTTAAAACTTAAAAAAAAGTTACCAACCCCAAATGGTAGTGTACCTTTATTAAAATGTAATATGTTAATATAATATTTAGTTTAACATTTCTACCAAAATACTACAGTTCTGCAGTTAATCCACGTAAATCCACGCAGTCTGCATAGTCTGATTTAAGACACACTAATCCTAATGTTGCTTACTATTGTGTTCAAGCACATGCAGAAGAGCATGATGGTGTAATTTTTGTGTGCACTGATTTTAATATTTATATGTGTGTGTGCCAGATATGAAGAATGGCATGATTGATGTAGGAATCTTCTGTAAGGAGCCGCGTCCAAGTCAGAATACAGAGAAAGGTAAATGTAATACAACAGCAGCACAATGATCTGATTATAAAGATTGAATGATCATCTCTGTGTTTCGTATGATTAGTGCAGCGATACTTCTGCTTGAGCATATTTATATAAGTGATAAAAATGTATCTGTGCTGATATTTGCCCATTTCCATATTATTGGTGTGTCAGATGTATTGATAACATTGTCTATGGATAATGTACATTTGATCTGGTTATGTGTTACTGATGTAATTTCTGTGAGTGGAGTGCTTTCCTGTTAGTTACATTACATTTGCATGTAGAAAAGTTTGTATTTAAGAAATGCATTGATTTCATGCAAGTTAGTTACATGCAAACCAAGTGGCTAATTGCCTTTCTTTTGTCCCATATCCCAGACTGCACCATCAGCAAGTTTCTGAACCGTATTTTGGGTATGGAGGTCCATCATCAGAACTCTCTGTTCCAGTATTTCACCGATAACTTTGACTACCTGATCAACAAGGATAAAAAAGAGGGAAAATATGACATGGGTATATTGGGTGAGGAATCTGAATGTAATGCGGAATAGTGCCGTTATATTTGTGTGGGTCTGGTATGTTTTCAAAGCAGTAGATGAGCTGTATGTGTGTCTGAGATTAATGTTGTCATATTCTGTGTGTTCAGATCTTGCTCCTGGTAATGATGAGATTCACGAGGAAACACAGGAGAAGTTTCTAACTCCAGGAAACCCTCAGGAGGGCCAGGTCATCCTCTATAAGGTACATGTCAGGAAAATGAGGATATTAATAGCAATAGGATATTCAGCAAGAATGCATTAATCAAAAGTGGCAGTAAAACATTTAGAATGTTACAAAAGATTTCTATTTCAAATAAATGCTGTTCTTTTAAACTTTCTATTCATCTGTGAATCCTGAGAAATAAAATGTATCACAGTTTCCACAAAAATATTCAGCAGCACAACTGTTTTCAACATTGATAATAATCAGAAATGTTTCTTGAGCAGCAAATCAGCATATTAGAATGATTTCTGAAGATCATGTGACACTCAAGACTTGAGCAATGATGCTGAAAATTCAGCTTTTGAACATATTCACATCGAAAACCGTTGTTTCAAATGATATTATTTCACAATATTTCACAGGGTTTCCGCGGGTCCATAAGTCTTAATTTTAGTTCAATCAAATTTAAGGCCATAAAAAGTCCTCAATGGTACAAGAAAGTCTTAATTATGATTTCAGGAGGTCTTACATTTGGGAACGGAAAGACAAGAATTGCAATACGGCTTAATGTGACGATTAAACTTCAAAAGGCCGTGATTTCATTGAATAAATATGAGCACTGCATGTTTCAAAGTTAGGTGCTGCCTGCTTTGTGTAGCGATTAGCGAGAAACCGCTGTATTTCTGCGCCTCCTACTGGCAGAGAATGAATGTGCATTTTCAATCAGCCCGTCTGCTGTTTTAGTTCAGACCAATGTGAAAATCAACCCATGTTTTACGCAGCAAACACGCAGAGTTGTGCATGTCAACAAGAAGATAATGCATTATAAAAATCTAAACAATTAAGACTGTAAAATATATTTAAGTGTTATTTAATATTATATAATAATTGAAAATAATTGCTTAAAAAATAACAAATCCAGGCTATATAATGGCTATATAATAATAATAATAATAATAGTTAATGCTGTGATTATATTATGTCTATAAATAATAAAGATGATAATAATAATTATTATTACTACTACTAAATAATATATATTTACTAAAAAAAATAAATAAATAAAAATAAATAAGAGATATTCATATTGGACTAGGGCTGCACAATATTAATATTGTACTAGGGCTGCACAATTTAGCCAACATTTTGTGAATACATAAATATGAAATATGTTAATAAAATAATAATAATAACAACAACAACTCAATAAAAACTAAAATTACTAAATAAAAACAAAATAAGAAATGTTATTGTAATACAAACTCTTTTATTGTTATTATTTTAATATTGTAATATAAACTCAAACTAAACTAAACCATAAACTAAATGTGCAGTGCCGCTTCACTCTGAAACATGAAGTGCATATATTTATTTAATTAAGTCATGGCCTTTGTGAATTAGTAATCGCACAAAACCATACTGTGATTTCAATTTTATTTCAATTAATCATTCAGCCCTAAGTCAAATCAATAATACTACTAAATATTAAATTAATATTATAATTGATACTTTTGACTCTTAATAATGGTTTAAAGGCTGAAATGTGAAGTTTATCATTTTATAAACTTTTTGTTTTTGTGAAAACCTGTATCTGAACTGTATGTTATCGTAGACATTGCTCTACGGTATTATGGTATTAATAATGGTATTAATTTTATTTGTGCAGGTCCTGCAGATAGCCTGATAAATCATGTATTTTATTTTTTATTTTATTTTACATGTATTTTAGTTTTATATACATACATACTGTGTGTATATATATATATATATATATATATATATAATAAAGATATTATATGGAATATTTCTATTTAAAAAAGGTGTAAAAATTTTTATATTTAGTCCATGTATCTATGTATGTTCAGTATGTGTGGATGTGTGTGTGTAGGTATGTATCTATCTATCCTTATATAACTTTATATATCTATTAAAATACCTTTAAAAACATAAAAGTGGGTAAAATTGGTTTTAGAAAATTGATTACTATTATTTTTTTTTTTTTGCTTCTTTTATTTATTTATTTATTTTGGAATTTTCTAAATGTCCTGAGTTTGTGTTGTGGCTGTTTTCAGATCAGTGTGGATCGCGGGATGCCCTGGGAAGAGGCCTGCAGTAAAGCAGAGAAACTCACTGGAGAATATGAAGGTTTTTACCTCTCAAACAAGGTACACGACACATCATCACACACTGATGTCTGACGATAAATCACGCTTGCTGTGTTTATGCAGTCGAAATCATCAAAATGCCAAATTACCATCTTTGAGTATGTTTTTACCATATATGTGACCCTGGACCACAAAAACATTCATAAGTGTCACTTCTTTTATTTATTTATTTATTTTGGAATTTTCTAAATGTCCTGAGTTTGTGTTGTGGCTGTTTTCAGATCAGTGTGGATCGCGGGATGCCCTGGGAAGAGGCCTGCAGTAAAGCAGAGAAACTCACTGGAGAATATGAAGGTTTTTACCTCTCAAACAAGGTACACGACACATCATCACACACTGATGTCTGACGATAAATCACGCTTGCTGTGTTTATGCAGTCAAAATCATCCAAATGCCAAATTACCATCTTTGAGTATGTTTTTACCATATATGTGACCCTGGACCACAAAAACATTCATAAGTGTCAATTTTTCAAAATTGTTTATGCATCATCTGAAAGCTGAATAAATAAGCTTTCCATTGATGTATGGTTTGTTAGGATAGGACGATATTTGGCCGAGATACAAATATTTGAAAATCTGGAATCTGAGGGTGCAAAAAAATCTGAATATTGAGAAAATCATCTTTAAAGTTGTCCAAATGAAGTTCTTAGCAATGCATATTACTAATCAAAAATTAAGTTTTGATATATTTACAGTAGGAAATTTACAAAATATCTTCATGGAACATGATCTTTACTTAATATCCTAATGATTTTTGGCATAAAAGAAAAATCTATAATTTTGACCCATACAATGCATTTTTGGCTATTGCTCCAAATATACCCCAGCGACTTAAGACATATATGTGTGTTTGTGTGTTCAGCTGCGCGGGAATCAGCCGTGTGTCCTGCTCGCCGAACAGGGTCGGGGTCGTAATCTCATCCTGTTTAAGCCCAACATCGGCAAACAGGCTCATCCTGAGAACCTGGACAACCTGCTCCTGAGATACTACAAGGTACAACACGCAAAACCCATCAGGCACTGCCAGAGTCCCTACAGCTCACACACATTGATATGATGTTAAACCTTACGCAGAGCTCTTGTCGCACAGTGACATCCAGTGGTAGAGAGCGGGTCTGTCAGGAACACACTTGTGTGTTTGAATGTAAGAGTTGGTTTGACTTTTTGGTCTTGAGTTCAGTCGAGATACAATCCAAGTTTAGAGTTGCTGGGAGTGTTTTCAGAGTTGACTTATTATTATTTATTTTTTTTAATCAAAAACCACTTCATAAATCATTCATTCTCCTCTTGAGTGAGTGAATACGGATATCAGACTGCATCAAACGCATAGCAAGCCCTAAAATATGATAATGTAAACATGAAATGTTTCCCTACAGCTCACACACATTGATATGATGTTAAACCTTACGCAGAGCTCTTGTCGCACAGTGACATCCAGTGGTAGAGAGCGGGTCTGTCAGGAACACACTTGTGTGTTTGAATGTAAGAGTTGGTTTGACTTTTTGGTCTTGAGTTCAGTCGAGATACAATCCAAGTTTAGAGTTGCTGGGAGTGTTTTCAGAGTTGACTTATTATTATTATTATTTTTTTTAATCAAAAACCACTTCATAAATCATTCATTCTCCTCTTGAGTGAGTGAATACGGATATCAGACGCATAGCAAGCCCTAAAATATGATAATGTAAACATGAAATGTTATAATGAATTAAAAAAAGAGTTTTTGCCACTTTTGATGGCTTTTTTGCTACAAGGTTCCAGGTTCACACTAAATGCTCTGATGAAAACACGTTCATACAAGTGTTTTTCTTCCCGCTCTGAAGGTGACACCTGATGAAGCAAAGGATTTCTGGGAGAGTCAGTTTGTCTTTTCTTTCACCAACTGCACACATGCCAACTGGTGAGTGTGTGTGTGTGTGTGTGTGTGAGCGATCAGTAGAGACTCTGACCCTGCTGACACTGATACTTTTTGTTTTTGACAATGTATTTCAATATGTTCCACTTTTTATTTTCTAGGTTTATGTTATAATTTGCACTAATAGCTAAGAATCTACTATAATACAACTCTGTAAACTGATTGAATAAGTGTGTGTGTGTGTGTGTTTAAAGGTGTGGTCACAATTACTGTTGCTCTGCAAGATTTCACAGGTGATAATGATGACAAAATAAACATCCAAAGCTATTCTGCCAGCTAGCAAATGAACCAAACCTGTTTGCTTTCCAAACAGCTTCTTTTTATGGTTGATTTTATAATATTGATGGTGTAGTGTGAAACAAAACTGTGTATTTTAGTATTATTTTTATACCATTATAACATTTATTAATTCTTTTTACATTTTTTATTTGCAAATGTTCAGTTTTAATTTTAATTTAAGTTAACCGAAAAAAATTTCATTAGTTTTAGATTTAGTTTTAGTTAATAACAGTGACCATTTTTTTTAAGTAAACAAAGTTTTAGTAATTTTATGTGCTTTTGTCCTTAATTTTTTAATATTTATATTTAGCTTTAATTTATATCTGAGTTTTGGTATTTGTAATAAATAAATGTAATAATTTAATAAATAACTTAAACTTATTAGTTAGAACTTCTAAGTAACGTTTTTTCCCCCATGCCTTTCTATATAGTATTTTTAGATTTCATATTTTATTTTGTTGTATTTAAGGTTTATTTCAGTTACCGAAAGTGATTTTCAATATTTTTAGATTTTGTTTTATTTAACAATTTATATTTAGTTAAAACCACCAGAATGAGCGCCTCGTCCATTGTGGCTCTTTAGCTTTGGTTGGTGCTGCAAATTTGTGTGTGAGAGTTTAATGAACCCAAACCCAACACAAAAATCGCATAGGGAAATTTCTTCGCCACTGGAAGTCCAATCAGACGAAATTCTTCAGCGCACTGATTCCCATTGAAATGACTGGATTTCGCATAGTAGCATTAAATGTGACCGCAGCTTAATAGTGTTTGTGTGTCTGTGTTTGTGGTAGGAATGGTAAGTGTAAGCTGATCGAGCAGGGCCAGGAGTGTTTTCTGGGGATGCGTCTCAGGCAGTATCACATGTTGTGCGGCGCGCTGCTGAGGGTCTGGAAACGAGTGTCTGACATCGTCTCGGACATCACCAACTCCAGCATCCTGCAGATCGTACGGCTCAAAACCAAACAGAACAGCAAGCAAGTTGGTGAGTTGATGTTTTGTTATCGGTTACTTCTCAATCCCGTTTCCTAGCAAACTAATTATTGCAGTGAATAAGGCTGCACGATAAATCGTATTTTAATCGTGATCACGATTTCTGCTTCTCTCGATTTATTAAGCATAATCACCTGCAGTATTTTCCCGCTGGTTATTTATCCTGAAAACATTTCATTTTAATTTGCCGTTTGCGTTATTTTTGCATTGGTAACAAGCCACGACAAGCTTTCATAGTTGCGGTTGCCAGATGTCAAGATTTTAAATCCCCCAATCAGAGCTTTTTTTCTGAAATCGATGCATTTTCTGCCCAGTGGTGTATTTAATATTCCCAACCTGATGAGCTGAAAACACTGGCAAGCATTTATGTTGGAGTTTAGCGATCTCTATTGAGATATTTTGCTCAAGTAAAAGTGAAATACAGCCGGACTGTTTTCTTTCACGCAGGCATTTGTGTTGTTTGCTGCGACTAAATCTGCAAGCAAACCAATGGGCGTTCTCTTAATTTGTGCTTATGTGAAAATGCAATAATTCTGATGAAATGTAAAAAGAAATTTAATATGACAATAATCATGATTATATCATGATTAACCATTATCATGTAGCCCTAGCAATTAGGGCTGGGACAATAAATCAATGCATCGCGTTTCGTGGATCGATTCTGAGATTTTCGGAATGCATCGTGATTCTCTCTGGAATCGATTCTGAGCTTAGTTTTTAACAGCAGATGGCGCTCTAGGCTAGTTTTTACCGCACACTCAAATGCTCACGAAGAAGAGCGCTTGTGCGTTCGGCTGAGTAATGTAAGTGGTTAAATGTATTTGCACACCGTCTTTTATGCTTTTATGATGCAAGATTAATATAAACACAGCCCACTGTGAAAATCCTTGTAATTCGCTTCAACCTTTTCGAACTTTATGAATGCTTATTTTAGGTTCAAGTGGTGCGTGTGTAAGGAACTGGAAGCAAGCAGAATACGGCTATTTCTAAAGCACGCAGTGCCATCTGCTGTTAAAAACTAAGCTCAGAATCGATTCAAGAGAGAAGCGCGATGCCTTCGGAAAATCTCAGAATCGATGCAGAATCATTTCTCGATTCGCGATGCATCGATTTATTGTCCCAGCCCTACTAGCAATGAATATCCCAGATTTATCCTAAAACTCATCTTGTCATGAGTATTGATTATCACAATTGAGAGGTAAGGCCATTCACACCAAGGAACGACAATGATACAGCTTTAAAAATCAAATAGCAGAGTCCCAACACAGCTGTAACAATAACGGCACATAGGAACACTTTCATGTTTTTCAGCCAATCTGAATCCACCTGACTTTAAAGAGCTTGTGCATTTAAAGTGGCAGACGACGATACTGCAGCACGCGCTTTTAATAAACAATGCTATCGTGCTTTGGTGTTGACACTAATATGTGACCCTGGACCACAAAACCAGTCAAAAGTGTCAATTTTTCAAAATTGAGATTTATACGTCACATAAATAAGCTTTCCATTGATGTATGGTTTGTTATGATAGGACAATATTTGGCCGAGATACAACTATTTGAAAATCTGGAATCTGAGGGTGCAAAAAAATCTAAATATTGAGAAAATTGCCTTTAAAGCTGTCCAAATGAAGTTCTTAGCAATGTATATTACTAATCAAAAATTAAGTTTTAATATATTTACAGTAGGGAATTTACAAAATGCCTTCATGGAACATGGTATTTATCCTAATGATTTTTGGCATAAAAGAAAAATCGATCATTTTGACCCATACAATGTATTTTTGGCTATTGCTACAAATATACCCCAGCGACTTAAGACTGCTTTTGTGCTCAAGGGTCACATATAATTATCGTTCTTGGTGTGAACGGGCCTTTATATGTCCGTTTATCTCTCCTTAAGACGAAAATAACAATCATGTGTGTGTCTCAGGTATAAAAATCCCAGAGAACTGCGTGTCCCGCGTGCGCGCTGAGCTATCTCGGATGGACGAGGAGGTGAAGAAAGCGCGGCAGGAGAGAGAGCAGTTAGCAAATGAGCAGCGTATGCGCCAAGAGATGCTGGCCAAGATGATCATCGCAAACCCTCCCCCCTCCTTTCAGAACCACCTTCACTACCCACGATCCCTTCTGCCGCCTGCGGCGAAGCCAAAGAGCGAAGCCGTCAGCGAGGTCTTGGATCTTACCATCAGCCCCTGCCCATCGCCGGACATCAAAACGCCTGTGCCAGACCTAAACGGCGTGTCCCTACACAGAGGCATGCTAGGCGCGAGAGGACGCCCGTGCGCGGTTGTTCCCGAGACGTACAACTTGGAAGATTTGATCTCCCAGGAGCAGCAGAGACACAGGCAGGTGGCGTTGAACCCGAACGTGCGCATGTCGTCGTCGCATGCCACTTTGAACGTCCCGCAGCAGCACGTTCACACACTAAAGCAGAATCATTCGTCGTTTGGGGTGCTAACACAGCAGCAGCAACAGAGCGGCTCATGCGCACAACCGCCCGAGCAGTACCGCGTGCTTCTGTCGCAGCTGCAGCGAGGGCAAGACACATCGCTCGTGCTGCGGCTTCTCACGCAAATGCGGCAGCAAAATGGCGTGTCGCCGCAGTCCTCGCGCGCTATGCTACACCAGAACAGTCAACACATGACGCACACTTCGAACGCACACTTGCTCGGCATGCATGCACAGCTGTCGAAACAACATACGAGCGAACATGCGCAGTCGCAATCCCTACCGTCGCAACCCCTGCCATCGCAACCCCAAGCCATGCAATCACTTGTCACTCAGCCTGCTACAGAAAGAACGAACAATGAGTTTGATTTCGACGACTTGGACTTCGGTTACCCCTCGCCCGAATCGCAACATCAGTACCCGTTCACCTCTCAAGCCCTGCCATCCTCGACTCCGCCCCCTCCTCCTTACTCCTCCTCCCTCTTTGCGTCAGCGCCTACAAACTCCTCCCTCTCGGACTCTAGCTCCTCCTCCTCACACTTCACGCCATCGTCCTCTTCCTCCGAACAGACGCATCTGTTACCAAATGGCCACAGCAGTATGGACGCCCTGGAGACGCTGGATCACATGATCCACAGAACACCCTCGGATCACCGCCAGTCCGTCATCCAGTTCAAAACAATGGACTGGGACGCCACCTAGAGGCTCAAACATGCACGGTCAGAAATTCATTCTCGGCAAGACTTTTGAGTTCTTTCCCAAGTCATTCTCAGTCCATAAGCTAAGAGTTGCGTTCGGTTCGTTGACGATCAATGAAGACTTGAAATCAAATGGGTTTGCCTCATTTTAAGC